TTTAACAAATCATCTCGTTGCCGTCAGCGATACTGTCACTGGTAAAGATAAAATCAAGTTTTTTAGACAAATATGCTTTGCCTGTGGCAATTATCTCGGATTAATATTTGTGCTTCACAGCAAATTTGTAGGCTTTGCGCCAGCTTGACATACACACAATAGACAATGGCAGGCAAACGCGTTAATTGCGTGCAGGGTAAATTCCTTGGGAGTATTTACGCGGAGAAACCTTGTAGCTGCAATACATTACGCGTCATGCGCCTCTACACTCTTTCGCGTCCGTCAAATGATATGTGTAAACCCCTTCGTCTTCCTATCTGCCCAACCTGGTGGTTCCAGACTAAGTGAGGGTTGTCGAAAGGATTGACTTGCTGATATCAGCCCTGCTGCACTTTGTAGTGACGGTTGAGTTTAGCAAGACTAAGCGTCATGCGCCAAGTTCTTCCAAACGCTATGACTGTAACTCAGGATACACAAAGCAGTACACAAATGTCAGAGGTAGACGGGATACACATTATCTGATGTGGGTGAAAAATGTTGTTAGTCCTTCCACAAATGCAGAACCTGCAGCCTTGCAAACTAAGTTGCACACTTGCAGAATCGGACCCCTTACGATCGTAGTCAGTAAGGGTTTGAGTTATACTATCAACAAATTGTGTTGATATCACGTCGTGAATCACTTAAATTAAAATGACGTCAGTAGTTAGAGAGTGGCAAGCGGTTTTAGAAACACCGGTCTTCTGCGTGACAAAAGCGATGTCGACGCCACTCAACAACTTTTGGAGCTTTTGGATCACCTGAGTGAGCTGGTGGTTAAATTAACTCTGATTTAGAGTCCTAGTAGTAATTTATTGATGAAATTACAAAGGAACTGCTTAATGCACCATTTATTTTTAATACTAATAAAAGGCAAAATAACTCCAGTTTTGGCGGTTAATTTGAACGTATGGTTGTCAAGAGCTCTAATGCTTGTCTTCTTTAGGAACAAAGTTCGCTACTTGTCTTGTTTACCTTTCGTTTCAACGGCAAAAGACTAACGAAGGGAGACATGACGCGAGCATTGTGTAGCAGCAAGGTATCAGCTCAATGCCGCATTCTTCATATCCAGCTCTTAAAAGATAAAGGTCCTGTTTCTTCCACGTCTGATTACGCAGGAATCAGGCAATGTGCCAACTAGGCGGTTAAAAATATTAAATTTGGATGCATGGAGACCTCGATCGCTGCATGCATGAAATGAAGCCAGCGCTCTTCTATACATGTTACCGGTAAGGTGGGATCAAGGGCTCAAAACTGCCTCTTACGTCGCAGTCATCGCAAGAGCTACGCCAGGATCCAAAATTAGCATTCTGGAAACATATCCTATAAATTGATACGTGACAACCCAATCTTTGCGACTTAAAAGCACTAATTCTATCTATAAAATTTTCATCCACTCTGTCATAGTCAATGAAACAATGACGTCGTTGTGGTACAACCCTTTTTTAATCAAAATTGAATCGAGGGAACTCCGCCTTTTGTCGCAGGTGTCGTAGCTTGTCTGTCACATGCAGACTGGCAAGTAAACAATCTTCATGTAGTCAACACGACGCTGTTTTTATTATTTAACGTCTCGTTTTTAGCACTTTTCGTCCTAAAGTAGTCACAATTCGATGACTTTGTGACCGCTTCGATGAGACAAAAGGATTCGACTGAACACTTGGTGAGATCTCGGATAGTGTCAGTGATCAGTACTCTTGACACAATTAAAATTTTCCGATCACTGTACTTAAGTCTCTGCTTCGTAAAGACCAGACATAAGAGCAGGGCTTTCCCGTCCTATAAAATTTGCGTCTTTGGTAGAGTCCACTATCGATGCCTAACGAATAAACAAGTTTCGGGTTGTTTTTGCCCAGCTGGGAAACCGGTATTGTACCGTCCAAAACGTATCTTTTTCAAATGTATACTTAATTCCAAGTCATGAGTCGTTCAAATCACGACTGTCCTGGTTCTGAAAATTGATTTTTGTGGCCTGATCGCCCTGTCGCTCCAGTCCCTGACATCGTGTACCCCCCCGCGTTCACTCTTCGATACGCCTTGTCAAGGACAAGTCGGTTGTAATACATTTCTTTGGGAGAAGCTAGTCACTGTATTGTCCTTTGACTCTCCCCAGACTACTTTTTTTGTATCGTACTTGTACTTCTCTCGCCACCATTACGCCACCAATAGGATGATGATTCCGGAGTACCCCCCGCGGGGCACCTCCATCACATACGGCGACGCCACGGTCATGCCACCGGTGGTGTATCACATGAGTCTTAAACCGGCGACATCCACTTTGTCCCCTTCTTCAACGGCCGCAATTACTCCCGATTCGCCAACTACTACTCCAATTGTCTTTGTACACAATCTCCGTCCAACCATTTCGAATAGCTCTAGCACAGGAGCTTTAGCGACAAGTGGTAGTGCTACCCATGCTAGAAGGAACAAGTGCCACTCGGAGTCGGCTTTGCGTCTGGAACGTATGCTTGCATCGGCTGCTCCACCTAGAGAATTGATGCGTCGTCGTCCATATTCAGCGGGTGATGAACTTGATCTCGTGGGTACTGTTACAATTTCGGGATATTCCAAGAATAGTCATGGCACATGGGTGTTTAAGGTCGACGTTGGTGGTCCTAGTGACACTAATGCATACGTCGTGCGTCGCCGCTTTACGGATTTTAAATTGTTGCACGAAGGTTTGTCTGAACTCTGTAAGCTTCCCGAGCTACCACCACATGGTATTTTTTCGGTTGTTCAAATGTTCGTGTCACCTGAAAAACTGCTTGCTGCGCGTGTTGCATGTTTGCAAAAAATGCTGCTAGTGATCCGTGCACATCCGACGCTGAGTAAAAGTGAGGCATTTATTGCTTTTATCGGCAAGAATCCAAGTCGATATGATGCTGGCTACGTGAGTCTGTCAGGCTACGAAGTGCCGGCAAGTCAGTGTCCACGTCCTGCTGGATCCCTCACCACAAAATAGTTGTATCAAGAGCTTACATAAGGATCAGAGTTAAACGGGGCCTTATAGACACCACAGTTTTTACAAGAGATCAAATCGATATAATGCAAGACACCGCACACGTACAATAGGTGGAGAAGACGTAGATTAATTTATTCACTGAGTATATAATTCCCATTGTTATTGCCGAAATGATTGTCCATACAAAAGAATAATTGTAAGTGTCAAGGATTGATATTTAGTTTGTGCTACTGTTACACTCAACTGCAAGCATCATCTTGACTTGGAAGCAGAAAAGCTGCTCGCTACACCCACTGCAGCAGATGCGCCATTTCCTTAAGCCGTCACCTGCGCGACATAACTTTCCATCGTAGAATATGAATATAATATAAAAGATAAACTTTAAAAAACGCTATCTAGCAAATTATTCCAATTGAGTCATAAATATGAGTTTGATTAAGCTGTTACGTGCACGTGATTTCTCTACTCTCAAGCGTGCTAAGCCCATTCGTGTTAAGAAAAGTGAGTCACGTCGCGTCATTCCTAAGCAGACCAATGCTCTTACGCAAGTATCGCCACCACCACCAACAATCCCTTTTTTACAATCTGAACAACAAGCACCACAGACTTTCGGTGGGATCATGAAAGAGGTGACGGATGTTTACATTGTCTCGTAGGCTACATATAACATACTGATTCTATATTGCTCGATGTCGATCATTAGAGTTTTATGTGGGGTATGGGCATGGCAGCTGCGTTCTCTGTCGTGGGCATTATTTTCAGTAGCATGGAAGAGGTACGTTTGGCTTGTTAATTAGCCAAATGAAAATATTGGGTGTTTTGTGGAAAATCACACTTGATTCTCGCACTCTCTGTGACTAGACAAACTCTCCAGGCGAGTACAAGAGCACCGTCGTTGTGGTGTCGCAGGAAGATCAGGAAGAGAGCAACTGAAAGTAGTTTGTTTGAGAGAAAACTGTGGTCATGAATTCACTCATAAAGTTAATCTAAACCTTTGATTCTCGACGTCGCACATATTATAATACACTCTTGCAAAATCCTTTCGTGCCTTTCATTATGCTCTTCCAATGGAGCTCACATAGACAGACTGATGATTGAAAACCATTTAATCCCAATCGTCTGAGTCCGAGTCCGAATCAACGTCCGATTTGGTCTCTTCATACTCGACGTGAATGCGACGCATTGCCATAGCATTCGTTATGGCTTCGTTGATAGAACCTGGCTGTGTTGCAGCTGGCGGTGCAGTACTCGATACACTGGACACGCTTCCGTCTGTCGAGTCCACCTTTTTCAACTGAGCTCCCTGTCGAATAGCCGCCAACAAATCACCACGACCACCTGCAAACGGATTTGGACGTCCGGATGGTATATTTGCCATTGGGGGGACTGCAGAAGGTGCAAAGCTTGTTCCTGAACTTGCACGAGAGCTTAAACGTGACCGTGATCGATTTTTCTTACCACGTTGAGTATTTTCACCATTTAAGCTGATGTTACTGCTTGAGAAGTTTGATTTTCTCCGCTGTGTTGATGAAGCTGCAGATTCTCGTCGCTGCTGTCGTACCACCTGCTGAGGAGTGTCGATAGATGTATCCGAATCTGACTCTGGGTCAGAGTTTGATTCAGCTAAGCCAAAAAGTCCATTTGATGCCTTCACGTTAGTAGCTTGACGTGAAGGACTTTTAATTCGAGACGAAGAAAGCGACAGTGATTGCTCCATTCTTGACTGAGAGCTGACAGAGCTCCTTGGAGGACGTCCATTAAGTTCAGTACCCATAAAAGGTTTTCCACTCGGCTTTTGACCGTTCATCAAGGCACGTGCAAAGGCACCATCAATATGGTATTCGAACTGAAACTGCTCGCTGAAAAGCACATTGGGCATGGTCACTAAGCGCTGTAGATACAAACAAAACTCCTGAGCTCGTTTCTCTATGTTCTCTGGCTTCGTATTGTTGCGCAAGCGGTGCTTGGATGGAAATTTTGGCAATGTCACTCCAGAAAGACCTTGTACCAGTCGAGCATGAATCTCTTCAAACTCTGAGTACGTGTAGGAGATCGTGTGTTCCAAGTTTCCAAATTGAAAAGTGAATGTATAAACAGCGACTGACTTTTTGCCTTCATTGCGCAACGCAGACATCGTGAAGAGCACCACAATGCTGGGTCCGGCTCCACCAGCTCCAGCACTAGTGGTAGCGATACTTTTAATCGTTGGCTGCTTGAGAAACAAAGATCCTGTTTATAATTCACGCGTTTTACAGCAAGTCAGGAACTTAATAACAGCACTTAGTAAGAAAGGGTACTTACCATGATCTAAATCCTCGTCACTTGATACACAATCACTGCTCACTGATGGAGCAGATACTTTCTTCTCTGTCAATTGGGGGCGTAGTTCCACACTCAAGTCGCTGGATCGAAAGCTTTGAGAAGCGCGAAACGAGTCTTTTCTAGCCTTACTCTTCCTTGCACCCAAACCAAACAATCCAGTGTCTGACTGATCATCCTCATCACTACTACTCTCATCAAACAGCCCCCTGCGACCACCATTAATCTTGGGTTTAGCCTTTGGCGATTCCTCTTGAGCCATTGCTTTCCTGAGAATTTCTTTTCCCTCAGCACTGAGCTGAGAATTACGCTTTCGACTGCGAACCTTGCCGTTAGCTGCTACTGGACTCAACACATTACTAATAATTCCTCCTTCTTCCGCCGTATCTGCACGATTTCGTCGAATGGCAGCAAGACTAGCAGCAAACGCGTTTGCCATCGTAGGTCCAGCTGGTTTAGGACTAGTACCTCCATCCAAAGCATGAGCTATCACTTTTGACTTCCGATCAGGTACATATGAGGCTTTAGTCATCACGCTCGTTATTGATCCAAACGAATCCCGCCGGCCACTCGTTCGAGCTGCTCGAGAGCCAAAATTTGGTCTTTCACCCCCCAAAATAGCAGCCAAATTGTCCTGACGATTTTGATACTTTTTCGCTGGATTAGAGCTGCGATGACTGGTCTGTGAAAAGGACGCACGAGATGGTCTTGACTCTTCATCGTGACCAAAAACGAAAGAATCCAATGATGCGCTGCTATTCGATCTAGATAATAGAGAATTCCTATTAGTAATAGGGTCACGATCAAATAGTGGTGGTGGGGGTGGTGGAGGTGGAAATCCCATCGAATTTCGAGAAGACATGGACATACGTGAACTACTGGCGGCCCGAAAGAGTGGTGGGGGTGGTGGAGGAGGTAGATTTCCACCATTGTGTTCATATCGAGATCCTGTCAATGATGAGACAGACGAAAGTCGCGACGACATTGAAGAACAGTCCGACATGTCGCTCTCCGAAGACCCAAAGCGTACAAGTGGATCCGTTTGTACCACACCACCAACCTCGAAAACTTTAAAACGACAGATACAATGAGTTATACACTTCTTCTCTTCTGAAAGAAACACGTACATTGTCCAGGCGGTGGCAATTCCACGCGAACTTTGACCTTTTGCTCCACCATTTTTGTATGTAGCGGCTGTACATTTTCCGTCTTTCCTCCTGCAGCTTCCTCTAAACGTCGTCGATAAGCAGCTTTATTGACTCTCCCCATAGTTGGCGCTTGTCGACGTTGTAGTCTTTGTCTTCTTTTCTCCAACATTCGAACCGTGTCGTCATCCAGCGAACCAATATCATCAATACGTTCTAAGGGTGTCATATTATTAATCTCCTCCTCTCGAGCCAACAGTCGGTCCTGCTCTTCTTTAATCATTCGAGCTTTTTTCTCCTTCCATTTACGAATCTGTTCTTCTCTCTCTTGTTGTACTCTTTTTTCCTCCTTTTTCACACGCCGTCGCTCGCGACGTACCTCTTCCCCAGCTGCACTCTGAGGATCTAATACTGCCATAAAACCTCGACACCATTTCTCAAGATCTACGCGATTAAATGCTGCTAGATGCATTCGTGACTTCGCATTACGCTCTACTTTAAGCTCAAGTCCATACGAGTCCACTTTATAAAGACTATCACCGTCCCATGCACCAAAACCAATTAAATACGCTCCATCGACTTTATTGCGCGTCTCGACATCACTGGAATCAAAAAACTCAAGCTTGCGATTCATCGTGAGCACCACGTAAAGCTCTGTGAGTCCATTTACATTGCCAACTGGCTTAGTAGTAACCTCGTTAGACGTTAATACATCTTCGTCTCGCTTACAGAGAAGAAATCCTTCCTGTACGACCCAGGACCCGCCGCCCATGAACAATTTGTGCCTTTCTTTTTGTCGGGAACGTTTCTATATGGTGTTTCTACGATAGTCGCAGAAAGTCGCTGTCCAGACTTTAATGTCCTCTGAAAGGATTACTAAATATTGAGATAAAAACGGGACAGAGAGAGCGCAATCTTGCAACATCCGTCTTTTAGGACGACAAATTAAGTAATTCAACGGTCGGAACTTCTCTTAATCTTGATGGCTACTTAACTTCTGTAGCATTAATTGCGCTTGACTCAACTCTTCGTACAGCGCTAGAAACTTATTCTTACTCATGTCAAAGCACAGTTCATGACTTGGAGACTTTGTCGCCAAATTGCATTCAATCACCGATTGGTCAAGCGTCAAGTTTAGTGTTACTTTGGACGAGTCCTCCACTTTCCATTCGACCTGTTGAATCCCCGGAAACTTTCGATAGCAAGCAAGTTTAAACTTAGGTCACATACGTGAGAAACAACGAAACAAGTAAGAACCTGAAAGCGTTGCAACCGTTGCTGGTCTCGAATACATTTTCGGAGATCTTCGTAGCTCTTTGCAATGGCTTCTGCAACCAAGTAATGCATACCTAGTTGTTCCAACTCTTTGACAAGATCTACACTCTCGATATTGAATTTGGCAGCATGCGTCAAAATGAATCGCAGCAAAGCCACCGTAGCCTAAGAAAATATGTTCATTTGAATTAGATTATATGATATAGATCAATTTGATCTTGACCTTAGCATCTGCAGCCTTCGTAAACAAATCCTGCGCTTCATTCACATCCTGTTGAACCACATCCAATCAAGAAAATCAGCTGACTCCATTACCACCAAACAATAAAGAGCTTTTTGACCTGCTTGGTGATATCAGACCCAATAGCTTCACACATTGCAATGACGTTTTCGGGAGTCTGTGCATGTATCACCACACGTTGAACACAAATCTCTGTTTAAGTCTAGAATACTTGTCGTACCACTTTGCTTTGCTCTCCCGACAGTAGCGGTAGCTCAGCCAGTACCCAATCTGGTGGCTCGAGACCTCCACAAAAGCGAAATTTCTACCACATATCAGTAATTTATCTTATTACTCATAAACTTGTCGTCATTTTGCGTTAAGCTCGCGCACAACACACGCTTCTCGCACCATTTTCGTCGACGTTGAAAATTCTCAGATCTGATAACATCAATTAAAGTGGGAAATAAGGCATTACATTTTCCTTGTTAGAAATGCAAGCATGGCGATGTTCGAGCTAAATACTCGCTCTCATCCAGAGAATCAGCTTATATTAAGCTGTAGTGCTTTTAGGCTACTCACGACGTACTAAGTCCCCACTCTTACAGTAGAAAAGGAAGTTTTAGCCGAAAAAAATGTCATTTATCATACCTACATACGCTATGTTTCTAATGCTTGACACAACGTTCTCTATACTTCGACCTCTCTTCGGGCATAAATATCTTAATTGCAACATTGGACCCCAACAAGTACTTATCAATAGTTGGTACGATTATATTGTAACAAGCTGAGTGTAACAGTCGTAATGCTTTTGATCTTTTTATGTATAGAAACGCCATGGAGTGTATTTTCTAACACTCTTCTGAATCGTAACTGTGTTGTAAATCTTTGATCTTTGGTCTCCGCAATTTCTTGGTGAATAAGTCGAACAATGAACGAAGTTCCCGAACACGTCGTATTGACAAAGCTTAAAGCCACAAGCTCACGTTAAATCAAGCACACCAAATGGGTTTGTAGTGGCGGAACCGTAAGCCTCTTAACTATTAAGAACTTAGCTTGTTCTAAACTCAACAGTAATATAACGTCTAGCTGATACGATAATCAAAATTATTTGTTTTTCAAATTTATCATACTAAAAACCGAGTGTCTCACGGACTAAATATGTACGTACACCATTTAAAGCCCTAGTCGCAGGTGTAACGGGGTTACACGAACCCTTGTAGCAGGGTACGTGTGTCACACGAGATGTGCATGGTGTGACAACACCCAAACAAGAATACGGTAACGGGGCTAGGTAGCCAGTAGTTATGCATGTATTTATATATTTAGTATATTTAAGAAAATCTAATCTTTTAAAATTAGGATTTTTGACTCTTCGGTGATTTTTATAAATAAAAATCACCGAAGAGTCAATGAGCCTTGGGAGGGCAATAATTACTCTTGGAGTAAGCGGGTTGCGATCCGCTAACTCATACTTGGTACTTGTAAAGAACGATAGGTCGATGACCTAAAGTACGCTTCCTTAGCGCTAAGCTACGGCAGCCCCGTTGCAGCAGGCCATCCCAATTCATGACTACAGACTGTCATCATTGCAGATTTTCCTTGTCTTACTTAAGCGCAAGGCTCAAAGATCTGCTTACAAAGACACAGCGCCCACTGTGGCCGACATGTACCCATTTCACGATACATTATATTGTAGACCGGAGGGACTCGCCAAATCCCACGCACCACTTTCGCACTTTTTCAAAGTCCGCACACCTTCGCCATTATTGATGCTTAAGCTCTGTATGGCTTGCGCGTCCACAACATCAACACAAACCTTCGCGTAAATTTATCACGTTAGTTTGTTCCCAGCAGAAAACGCCTTGCTCCAAGGCTGTCGATGAGGTTGCGTTTTGTTGCTAATGAGTCGGGCCGATCCCAACAAGCCCATTTTATATGTAAACCCATAGTCGCGACATAATCGAGTGCTCAGCGACTAAACTGAAGGTCGCGAGAATATATTTGCTTGATAGGCATTTCTCCGTGAACCACACATCATAACAAGACTTGTTTATACTTGAGCTCACAAAAAACAAGCTTACTGTATGCGTCGAGGCGGGCAATTGTCCTCACTATCAGTCCTTTAGTCAACAGGCCCTTTATAAATAACGAGTCTGCTGGTATATCTACCGGTCAAGACTCGAAGCTGAAGCCTCGCTTGCTAGTGTGAAGAGTTTACGCTGTGCGACTTTTGCTTGCTTAAAATGGTAGGACAGAGGGTGCGCTGTTACAAGTTACAAGGGCACCATAGCAATCTTGCCAAAGTGAGATCTCAGAATCCCATGAGCTCTAACAGTATAGCTGACCCTTTCAAAAAACCCAAAACTGATTACATATTGTCGCCTTACCATCCGCTTCACATGAGAATACGCCTCCACGATTCTTTCGAACTTAGCCGACGAAAGATGATCGTCGCAGGACTGGCTCTCGTGATCTTTCTTGGCTGCTGTGGCAACCCTCTCCACGTGTCACCCGGGCATGCGTACGATACTGGCGCAATATACACAGTCCGCTTCGGGCTAGGATCGTTTATGATCCAGAGTAGTCTCTATGCAACCTAGCCTTGGAAATGCTGCCATTACGCGCGTGGATAGACTTCAGCTGCAGTGGGCTGCCGTAGCTCTTTGCTGAGCTTACTTTATATTAGAACTAGTATGAGTGTAGCCGATCGCTATCCTCTATCGTCAAGAGTACCCAAAACCTTAACCCAAGGCGAATTTACTATTCTGGTTAAAATCTAAACTGTATTTCTTTTGTTTTATAGGCGGCTGAGCCGCCTATATCGAAACCTTTGGGTTTTCAAAATTAAACAATAAAAACCTAATTAAATGAATAGCTACCGGCAGTCCCGCCACGTAGTGGCTTCTTGTTAAGGTGTAGTCACACTATAGCGTGGTCATACCATCTTGTGTGAGCCACCCTTTTTACCATGGTACGTGTAACCCCGTTACACTTTTCCCCATCAAATTGTGAATACCCATAATTCACATTTTAGTGTCGCCTCGTACGAGGCTCGCTTGTCTTAGACACCTTTACGTCCTTCCACGCATTCTCTGCTCAATGAGCCCTGTGGCTATGGCACGAATAACACCCAGCCTAGCTGGTTTCGAGAGCGCCCGCGGGCAGGCCATTCTTCGTATCCTGCACGCGGTGCAAATCCGGACAGTTCCGTGGCTTCACGGAAGCACATCCCAAGCCCTCGGATACCCCTTTGCAGGATGGAAAAAGAGGAGGGCGAAGTGCGCCAACGGCGCGACGTGAGCCTTGCTCGAATCTTGCGGACACCGTGTCCGTTTCCCGACTTACTGACTTCCGGGGAAGTGGTATCGTTACCAATTGCCTCAATGAGACACAGGAGTAGTAGCTGGGGGATGCTCACAGGGCGGCTCTCGTGCGCTCGCATCCACGGTTGAATCATGACCCTTGTGAGGAATACGGCTTCCGCTCTGTGGATCCCGCTACCGAAGCGAAAGATGCGATCACCCGATCGTTGAACGTCTACGTAGTCGCCCCCCGGTCACTACACAAGCGAAGCATGACCAACAAAAAAGCTCTCCGGCATTGCTTCTTGGTATCTCAGGTATTCCAAGTGGATAGGTACCGCACGAAGTCGAGCTCAAAGAGGAGGCGCTCCTGTACCCGCAATGGGGACGTGCTCGCCCGTTAGCAAAACTGCTGCAGATGATGGTGTGCTCTTTGAGCGATGATGCAGTGGCAATTAAACTTTCCTCGCTGTATCACTTCCAGTGGAGCCACAAAGAGGTGAACGTGCGCGTAGAACGCTATCTTTGTTTCCAGATTGCCAAACTCAAGGCACGACGCCGACTTCCATCGTATTGTCGCCCTGCGACGTATGGATTATTCCATCACGCTACTGCGAGCTCTGTGTGATCTCTGAGTCGACGACTATTGCAGCTAAGGGCCATAACTTGAGCTCAGCTCATGGGCCCTTCGGCTTCCCCGACTATTGCCGAAAAGTGCAAGGCTTACGACGACGTGGAGCGTCATGATCCCTCTGAACATAAGCGTCCACGAAGTCTGAGCAGTCTTGCCGAAGTAGCACCTTAATCTCCCACGAGTTCTCGGAATCTGGGTATCCCCGCCACTTCACGAGATATTGGGCTAAACCTCGTCGAAGACGTCGACCCACCAGGCATTCCACGTGGTAGTGGACGCCACAATTCTCCTTCTTGGTCAATCGCCGCCCGCTGGCTCGGATGCTCTTCGAGCGTTGGACGACAAAGTCCGTCGTCATCGGCATTCTGTCGTGCATCTCTCCGAGGTCGTCTGCCGCTGTGCGGAAGACCTCGAGAGCCTAGAGCAATTTGTACACCGACTGCCTCGCGTTGAGGATTATCGTGCTCTGTCGGGGCGGCTCGAAGCTGTTGAGCAGCTGAATACGTCACGTCGTGCGACGATGGAGCGCCTTGCGCCGTTGAAAACGGAAGATGTTGCATCCGTGCTCAGAAGCGGTTGCTGGTCCAGCTTCCAGGTGGCCAGCCGCCTTTGGGCGCAACCCCAGCGCCAATGCCTCCGCGTTCACTTGCGCCGGATCCCAGTACGGCTTTCACCTACATAAAAAGCCGGGGTGGGTGCGCATCCCTCTCTTTAGGTATACGCTTAGCCCCGCTTATCCACGACCTTAAAACGTCCGATAAACCGTGGACGGAGCTTCGTCTTTAAGACAGTAGAAACTGCATGTGTAGGGAGGTTCTTAGCGTTTAATAAAACCAGGTCTCCGACTTCAATGTATCTAACGCTGATTGCCTGCCGTCAAGGCACCGCCAAACTCTTTAAAGAACATCTCGTCCAGCTCAAGAAGAGCATCCATCGCGGGAATAGCCTCAAGGGTGATGTTGCCGTCTTTCTTTCCCGTCATACCGCTGACGTGGTTATTGCGCTGCGCGCTATCGTCTACGGTTGACACACCCTGGGTCAGGGTCGACGCCCTGCATCTTGCAGATATCATACGGCTTTGCCGTCTACTCTCTATAGAGATTTGACGTCTCGTCGATACCAGTGGGAGCACGCACTCGGCGTCGTCCAGTGTCCTCACTTCCTGCTCCGTTGGAGCCTTGATGATATTAACAATATCCGACGAAGAGCAGCTATGTTTGCAGTTTTCGTCCGGGGGATAACGTGCCACTCCGCGCGCATCAGAAGGGCCTTGTCCAAGATGCCTCGTACCACGTCCCATCATACTACTCTTGGCATACAGCAACTGCATCGAAACGTGAGCAGTTCTCAATAGATTTCCACGTGCATCACAAGGGCCTTGCCCTTGATACCTTGGCCATGCCATTCTTGGTACGCAGCAACTGCTTCGTAGCGTGAGCAGTAGGCACTGGTTTGCGTGCTATTCGACGTCGAGCCCGCAAGCCACGCTCGGGGCTCTTGTATAAAAGTCCTTTGGTGTTTGACAATTCGAATACTTCAATATCCAGGACATTGACCGTCCCGGTCCAGTACCCGCGCCAGTTGCGCTTCCGCTTCCTAGCAGTGGTGGTTTCATGACTCACCAAAGCTCCGCTAGGAGACGTGCGCGTTACGCCCTAGGTCGTCGACCATCAAGTCTAAGAGTAGACAGCGTATCACGCTATCAAAGTCAAGAAACTTGACGCAGAGGTCAACAGGGACCCTAGACACAGGACAATAATCCTCATTGCTAAGCTGACGGTGACAACATCACTCATCCGCGCTTCCACCGCTTTAGCATACAGCTGACTTCCTTCGATTGTGGAGCGTCGAGCATAATTGCCCGAAGCACCAGCATCGATTTTTCATGGCTTATCAAGGCCTATCACGGCCGCTTATACGGCCATCAAGCCCGGCTTGCACACACGTTCCGTTTTCTAGAGCACGCAGCTTTTCAAGACTGGGCCCTGCTGCCCTGTACCTCTTTGAGGCTCAACAGAACTCAGATTTTCCCCCAGTAGGGCGCCCCGCGGCTACTGGGTGGTCTCGGTTTCCTGCGGCAAACCAGACTGATTAGAAGCTGAACGTCGGTTTGAAGGACTCTTTCGAATTTCGAGAGCATCACAAGCTCCTTTACGGGCCTTACGCAAGGGAAAACCAGTCAGAAGGTAACGAGTGTCTCCACGAACAAAACACCGTTGGGTGTTTACACGCTGCTCAGCAGCTCGGGCCTCTTCCTTCTCCTTCTCAGCACAGCCCAGGCCCGCTCGACGAGCTCTGAGAGTCTGCATCACAACAAAGTCGCGCCGACTTGAAGTTAAATTCGGCATGAAATGCCACGTTCACAGCTTCTTTGAAAAAAGACGGATGCACACGGGAGACTTCCGTTCTGGCCACGCCAGTGCGAACACCCCCATAAAGACGGTCACTGCAACCGCCTCGTGGAGAAGATGCCATCTCGGCAATTAGAGCCCTCAACTCTTGGACAAAGCTCACATACTCCTTCTTGCCCTGTCGGGCAGAAAGAAAACGCAATTTCACGCGATATGTCTGATCAGGCGGCGAGACCACTTGCAGAAGCTGACGCTTCTGCTCCTTCAAGGAGGGGAACGCAGCTTCAACCGAAGTAGTGACCATTCTTGCACTCGATTTCGAGCTCGGAAACAGCTAGCGTTACGCGCTGTTGCTCGTTTTGGAGCATGGCGGATGCCATAGCCATCTTGACCTCTCTCACCCAGAGAAGGAAATTCTCCCATCCATACCCTTAAAGGTTTTAGCGCTCACCATGAGCGGCCTGGGTCTGAGAAAAGGAATCCTCTGTCGTCGACGGTGGCATCATAGACGCTGCCGACGCTGACATCTCCTGCTGTAAGTGCTCTAACACAGCATTTTAATAGATAGAAAACGCCTTTAGGTGCGCGCGTATGGCCTCGGGTCCTTGCGCAACGAGGTGCTTCACGCCCCCGGGGTCCAGCTGGAATAAAAGCTTTTTAAGCCCGTTCTGTATGCCCTGGGGCAAATAGGAGAATCGCTTCAATCATCCCCACAGTGGATCAATCGTAAAGACTCAGGTGCAGATTGACTACAAGTGCTATCAAGTGCAGCGGGACTGTCGTAGCTTTCTGCTTAGAGAAAGCTAAGCTAAGGTCACCGATCTTACGTTCTATATTAGAACCAGTATGGGTGTAGCCGATTGCAATCCGCTACCTCCAAAAGTACCCAAAACCTTCACCTAAGGCTGTTCAATATCTAGACTGTATTTTATTGTTTTATTTTCGGCAAAGCTGCTTGTATCTCAAACCTTACGTTTTCCTGATTAAATAGTAAAACCTAAATAAAAAGCATATCTACTGGCAGTCCCGCCACGTAGTGGCTTCTTGTTACGGTGTAGCCATGCCATTGTATGATTACGCCAACTTGTGTAATCCACACCTTTAAACGGTCACACCATCTTGTTTGACCCACCCCTTCATATCAGGGTACGTGTAACCCCGTTACATATGGTGCCCCCTCGCGCAAATGTGACCTTTTTACTAAGTCACAAACCTTCTATGTTGCACAAGTGTTTGTTTCTCCTTGTAGATCTGGACTTTTGACGAGAGCGACGTGTCTATTGCTTTTGAAGTGGTGATACAAGCTAGTCACTTCTGCCGAACTTTCCATGAAACATAAGTCAAAGATCAAACGTCGAACACTCAATACTTCAGTACACCCTTGATTGTATACTCAGATTTATATATGCCCAAGCGCAAGCCATATAAATTCCAGTTCTTATAAGCCAATCCGGCTCTGTTTTTGATCTACCTTATGCTACAATGTAGCGATATTGTCAATCAGACTGATTGTGGAACTCTAAAGAAAGCGTCTGACAAGAGACCAATGTTCCCGAAGAATGTGGCGCCTGAAATCAAAAATCATTAGATTACACTAAAACGTGAGACATATTCGCTTGATGCCATATCAAAATCATAACAAACGAGCTTAACATCCACAGATATTTGAAGGAGATTACCGGGAGATGGCTTTTACGTACAGTACGTACCCGTCTCACCCTCTCCACCATGTGGACCGCACTGAGGCTCATCGCTTTACTGTCGATCGGACATGGCGAAGGAGTGAGTCGTCAACAGACACTCACAAAGCTTTAAGTTCCTCTCCATTCTAAATCACTAAAGTGCATGTATCAGGGGATATCTTTGTGTCAAGAGTCCCCTCCCTACCAAACACTACATCTCTCAGCAAGCCTTAAGATAGGCGCGGTTCTTGCGATCGACGACTTCAGCGCAGCGCTGTGTGGGGAGGTCAAGGTTCTCTTTGATAAAGCTATAACAACTTTCCGAGTCCAGATACGACACTTCCGCACCCTCCTAAGACAACGATCAAGCTGCTCACTCCGGCAAGGACGCGGTCCTTGCACTCGGTTAGATGATTGGGTGCTCTTTGATATGAACGGTGCAGCGTCGCTTTGAACCCCAAAATTAGCACCCCCACCCCCCGAGACAGGACCGAGCCGCTAAATGCTCACTGCGCTGCGTCTCTCCCCTCCACGTGCTGAAACTTCTGTGCGCTTCTTCGGCAAGATGTAATAAAACATTCAAACGTGAAACTCAACAACGATGCCCAACTCGTCGCCAACGGGCTGATCTTTGCTCAGGAAGTCTATCTAATATGACCGTCTGACAGATTAACAACTACGTCGACTGCGGCTTATCTCAGCACGTCGTGACTTATAATCGCTCTTTAGCTCCACCGGTTTTACCAGAGGAGACCGCATCACCCAGTAACTTCTATCATCCATTGGCTCTGTACCACATTACGGCTGGTTCCAACCGTCTTACTTTGAAGTTCACAACGCATCGTCGATCATACCTGTCACAGCTACTAATCTCTGGAAACCGCAATGTATGATCAATTTTCTCTCTATTTCATACCAAGTCCGCAGCTTATTACCTCCTGTCTCCTGAGTAGTGCACCAGCCACTTGGCAACACCTCTGATAGTCAGCTTGGACAATCCTACACACTGCATGTAGTTTAACGCAGCTTTGTATCTACACCAAAAGCACGACTGCTTTCTGATGCAGTTGGGTCATGATTAGCTAAAGCTTTACCGGGAGCGAAGTGCATGCACATAAAATTTAGACACCGTGGTTCCATTGATCACGACGATCAAACTCTTCCATACCTAGGATGACATTGAATACTATCGAAGAATCTATCGGAGCTTTGTCACAAGAGCACAGACATCGTCATCATATTCAATTTTCTTAATTCTCCGCGTACTGTCCACTGCTACCTATAGTACATAGTACTTCATTTCACAACGCTCTTGGAACCTCTTAGACTTTTAGAAGCATCCCAACCCTGAAGAACTCGAAAGTCGCGGTCTTTAGGGCTGACTCCCATTGACCTCGACATTCATGAGATACAAAGGCACGGGGCGGTCTACTGAAACTCAACTTCTTTCGCAATCAATTTTGTGTAAAGACTTAATGGGGTAGCTCGACCCTTTGTTATTCTCTCAACCGGAGGCGAAAGGACGAGCAAGGTACAAATGTCTTGCGTAAACATCTGCGAGTACTGTAGGGCTCAAGATATCTCTCTTTTTTTTCTCAGCACGCTGATGCTATTGTCCAGGGCGTGCTCATAGAGCTTCTCTTCCTAATTCTCGTGGCAGGGAAGTATCTCTCCGCATTTAACACAGCGCAGTTGTATTATATGGACGGTTGTGGTGAACGTGAGAGGTCTCGGGGCGAGCC